AAAAATTAAATTACGTTAGTAAAATAAAATTAGTAACAAACTAACCCCGAAACCAATTACTAGAGGTAGTTTGTATACTATTATTGTTTACGTATATTTTTTTTTAATATTTTTATTAGGTGCGTGTTTTACGAATTATAAGAAGAATAGACGCCTACAATTTCACATTATTTGTATTTGTAGAAAAAAATTCAAATTCAAATACAAAATGAGGTCGTGTCCGTCAGATCGGCTTAGATTCAATTTGGGCCGTCGGGCCTATATGTAGCTGTAGGCTAGTGGGCCTACACCAGCATTTCCCTATATATATATATACACGTGTGCATATATATCAAGGTTACAATACATCTTTGATATTTTCTATAATGCTCTTGTTATAGATAAGGATATTATGGGTCCTTACAGCTTGTAGTCCAAATAAAGAGACAGAAAAATGGGAAGGCGTCTAGTACAAATTTGTCCTTTGAGAACTAGCTACATCCTAACACTCATCTTGAGATCGAATGTGGGTTATACATTCCAATCTTATGAATAAGAGATGAAGTTTGTCTTTCATGTAGTGGAAAGATCTGTAAGGTTGGCCTCGTGGGGAGTACTGGTGATCTTTGAAACTTCTCATTTATGCATTGTAGTGGACTTCAATATGCTGCCCATGGTGGAGAACTGTCTTCTCTACAACGTAATATGCAAATTCATTGTCATAGAAAGAGGAAAGAGATGTCAGTTTCGTTCTAGTAATGATCAAATGCTCCCATCTTCAAAAAACAAAAATGATCACATGCTTCCATCTTTATGGTAGTGGAAAAGATAGCTTGATGCTCCGTCTTGGAATTGGAGATAGATCCCACTACTTGCCTCTTGCTTTGGAGGTAGCTCACCCAATGGAAGTGTGAGTGAAACCTAGTAGTTGTTATTGACTTATTTCTCACTTATTTTATGCATGTAAAATTATTTTTTATGCGATAACTTGGATGGAATCTGCTCTATAGGTTTGTTCACCCTCTTCCATCAACATGATGGAGACGCACACCTCAATCTAGACGATGATGTGATGTGGTTAGAGTGAGAATGCTGGCTGTGTGTCCCATTGGGAAATCTCCTGTCACAGAGGATCTCTCGATTAAAGCCATCACATGGATGAGATGGCCATGTGGCAGTATGTCAGAACCATAAACCTTTGTCCCCTATGTCACAGCATAGTGGTGAACGTCCAGGTTGCTTGAGTGCGTTGGTTTGGACCCGTAATATTGTCACATAAACAGACCATTCTAGCCTATCAATTTTTTAATTGTTGATTTCTGATTGTGATTTGTTACAACACTACCTTTCATGATACACATTTGAACCATAGTCACCTATATTAATGAAAATGAGGAAGCAAAATATCTTTCCTTGGACATGACTTAATGTATCATAATATCCTTTTGGTTGCATCATAATGGTCTTGGGTTGGGTTTTGCATAAACTAACACTACTAACTCACTATTTTAACAGTGGAGTCATTCTGTTATTGTCAATGTGCATTAGATAGGAATTTCAATTAACCTTGCATCTGGCTGTATCTTTATATTATTATGTTACTTCAGTTGATGTCTTGGAATTCTTTTCAATGGGTATGTACCAAGACTAGCAACCAAGACCAGCATTTGTCCATTAGGTCCATTGCATACTAGGTCCACAATAGCAATAGCCCTATGTGCAACATTGTAAATTCAGTGACCAGATCTTAGCTTCGGAAGATACTTAATCTTGAAATGCTAATAGATGATCTCTTTTTTTTTGAAGAATTATTTGACTGTATTACTGATGTACTGCTTATGATACCAAATAGCCCGATATGGCTACCATATGTGTGGAGCTCTGTACAGAATGGGGGCAACCTTCCAACTTTAGCAGCAGTTTACTTTTTATATAAAAAACATTGATAGAGAAGTATTAGAAGAAAAACATGACATAGATAGGGGGAAGAGTAAATGTAGAGGTTGAGAAGAGATAGCAGGGAGAGAGAGGGAAGGGAGAAGAAAGTGGAGATCATAAATGCGAGCAGAAATAAATAGATTGTGAAAGCAGAGCAGAGATCAAGAGGGGAAGACTAATAGGGAGAGCTATTTAGTTTCTCCAGTTCATATTATTGCTGGCAACTACTTCTTGACACACAACATAACAAGAAAATTGCCTTTATCATCCTCCTGATGAATACTGATGGAAGACTTGCCTTTTATGAATACCACTTCGTATCATTCTTCCCCTGAATTCAGATGCCCATGGATCATATGTGGGCCCATAAAGGACCATTCTCACCTCATAGATCATAAGATGCATATGATCGATCCAAACTCTTGGGTTTGGATGGATGTATAAAGGGCAATTCTCAACTTATAAATCATAACTTGTTTAGGGTCGATCCACAATCTTGGTTTTGGATGCATGTCTACGTCATGTACTTAAGCATATAGGGGGGATGCATTCTTGATATCCAATTCAAATTGTGGCCAATTCTTTGAGTTAGCACAGATCACACGCATATTTGATGGTTACCATGTTGTAGCAAATGTCTCCAGCAAATCTGAAGCATATTCCCAAATGTAAACCTTGATTACAAGTCATAACTTTTTAAAATCAAATCTTGTATCAAATTTTGATTAGGCTGAGAATATTTTGACTTTCCAGCTTTACTTCAGCCAGCAACATTAATTTTAGTGAATGATATGGAAATTTTCCATTCAGAATCTGCCTTGCATTTCTAAAATGTCTAACTCTGTGACAACATTCAAAAGCAGGCATCCTCATGCATCAAAGATTGCTATATTCTAATTTACAAGGAACAAAAATAGAAAAGAAAAACAAATTGCTCTGTTGGCAAATGTTTGCTTTCTCTGTTCAAGAAAGATATAGGCCTACTTCTTGACCTTGCAGTTTAATACATCTGAGCTGGTCACATCTTGACGTTGTTTAACATTACCGACAACGAACACCCGGTAAATACAACCGTGTTTTAGGCAGAAATAAAAATCAAAGAAGAAATCAGTAGGAAGATAGCAAAACGTGCAGATCTGAGTCCTTCGCTATGTGCCCACAAGCACAAGAGGGAAGAAAAGAAATATCCACAAAGGGCCTCTCTCTCTCTCTACACGATATGCAAAGATCACTTTTTTTTATTCAGCAAAAAATCAACCAATACAATCAACTGCATACATTTATAACCACTCTTTCTAAAAGATAAACCATTACTCCCTATTTACATGTTTCTTATCCAAAAATAGAGTGGACTTTCAACCCATACAAAAAATATTACCAAAACACACTTATCCTTCCTAAAAGGAAATGACCTATTCACGTCACTTTCCTTTCACGTTGATCTTAAAATTAAGCCCATTATTTATGAGGCAAATCTATCTAAAACCAATGCCTCTGAGAAAGATAGCTCTTAGCTAGCCTCCTAATAAAAACGGACTCATCTAAAAAAAATTCAAAAAGCAAAACAAACGGACCCATAAAAAATACGGTTCAACTTTCCTAAAGAAATTGAACCTTTTCATCTAAAAAAAACACCTGCTAAAAAAATGGATTTAAAATCCTATTTTTAATTATTAATCCTAATAAATAAAATAGAAAGTCTACCCAATCTCTAAAAACAAAATTAACAAAAATAAAATTAAAATTTTGTAGGAACCATACCTTGATCTGTATCACATCTTGAGCAATCACAACATCTAGACACCCCATTACCCAACTCCTGTGAGTAGCACAATGTAGCATATTTGTATGATCTACTCCTGGAATCAGAGGTCCTTGCCTTTCTAGCTATGGAATGCACACCTAGAATCATAAGGCTGAAATAAATAACAGTGTCCTACATTAGTGGCAGGAACTGTGCTAATCCAGTCTCATCCCGAAGTTCTTATGAGAGTAGTCCTGCCACTCACAATTTAGCACATGTCCCAAGTGTGTGAGACGTGCAATTAGGTTCTAGATTGGGAGGGGATTCACCTGTGTCCCCTTCAATGGGTATGGGATACTTGAACGTGCATGTGGTTAATTGTTATTGAAAAAATAAGCTGTATTGTTTAAATTGTGAAATTTGTAAACCATGTTTGGACAATCGGGTTGAACTGTACTGTGTGATTCGTAAAGTTTTTGAAACTGTTTTAGAACAATGTGGTTTATATTTTGGACTTAAAGGGTACTTTTTTTTTGATACTTTAATTATAATTATTTAAGTGGAATTTTAGGGTTTACTTTTTGTTTTTAATGTAGCATGTGTATTAAATCTAAAATGAACAATTTTGACACATTCTAAGTGAGCTTCCTTAACCTCGTCTTTGCCCAACAAATGAGGTTTAATTTAGGGAAATGACCTTGTGAGACCCTCCCACACCCATGTGTGTAGGACCTCAAAGGATCACCATTAAATTTGGTATAGATCTCTAGAAAAGTCGCACATCTATGTGATAACTTTTCTAGAGATCTGTGCCAAATTTAATGGTGATCCTTTGGGGTCCTATACACATGGGTGTGAGAGGGTCTTATCGGATCATTACTCTTTAATTTATTGTATTATTTAGTTTGCCTCTTGATATGGTTGGAAATTTTTTATGATTTATGTTTCCATGGTGAATTGTGAGGCTTCTATTTGAAATTGTATGTGGATGCCATTTTTTTCATGAAATAATCTGTATGCTGCTTATAATTCGTCAGGAGGCATGTTCTTCCAGCTGTTCGATATCTTTTGGATACTATCCAGGTAATTCTTCATGGAAATGTGCAGTTTTTATTTCAGATGTGTTGTTCTGTTATCTATTTTCTTCCTGTAAAACAGATGCTTATTAATTTGGTGGATTCATTGTTGTATCTGTACTGACTCAGTCAACTCCTAAATCTTCATCTTAGTTATGCTAGGAAGTTTGACTAGTTATATGTGAATGCTATGTTGTTTTGACTTGTATTTCTATTTATTTTCTTTGGATTGACATACATGTTACACAGTGTTGGTGGTATAAGACCAATGGGCTAGAAATATTTGAATAATTTTAAATATTCAAATGGTTTATACAAATAATACATATATTCCACCCTACAAATATGGTTTATACACATTTGAATAATAAAAATTTAACCCTAATAGGTCCCTTACAAATTCCTTACTCAAAAAAAAAAAAATTACAATTAAACAATGTACATCTCTAGACATATTCATCATTATATCAAAATTACATGATAATTCCATCTTTATTCTTCATCCTCATTATATATCATAATGTCTTACACACAGCATACACTTGATCATAATAATCCAATGAGATTTCAATTCACATAAACAATAAAGCATAGCATTAAAGCTCATACCACAAGGTTAAAGAACAATCTTAGTATTCACATAACATACGCAATTTAATCAATCATGAATCACTCAATAACTGTAAATACATCAAATTAACATGCAAACAATATAGGAGAAGCCATGGTTCGAACCTCATGTGCCCGGGCCACGAAAGGGCCTTTTAAGGACTTAATTTTGTCTCATTGTCTAAGGTACGGGTGATAAAAATAACTCAAGGAGATAAATCCAATGGGAAGAAAATGATCATTTTTTTTTCACTTAATGGGGATCAAATCATGAGAGAGACGTATCAAACAACCTGTCAAAGTTTGAGAGAGATACTACACAAAATAAGGAAGTTATAGTGAAACTAAACCATGTGGTCCATAAGGGACCACACAAACTTTTCAACATTAAAAAAAGAACTCAAGGCAGTATTCATATGCTCAAATATGAAGAAATAAACCTCTCATCAGTTGTATATTCTCGGTAAAAATTCCAGAAAAATAAGATCAAGAAAATCAAAGTGAAACTACTCAAGATCATGGAGTAAGCAAGTTAGTCTACACATACTATGTGTATGGACTACACTATTGCTTGAGACTCTTCAAATATCAAGTTTTCATGACCAAAAGATGAAGAAAGCTACTGTAAATTAAGAATTACCGCAAGCTGTGATAATGGAAATGAGGTAGGAAATGGAATATATGAAGAAAATTCAATACCTTGGTGAAACAATATTATAGGCTGCATCTCACATATGAAGGACTACTCCATCAAAAGGTTTCAACTCAAGGTTCAAAAATGAAGAACACAAGAATGGGGGTGTTGATATCAAGAGGGCCATGGTGGCCACATTTTTGTCAAGGGGCTCTCTCTCTCTTTGAAGTGAAACTCAAAATTAGGGTATAATTGATCTCATAAGTTACTTTTATACTTACATCATAAATGTGGATTTGATCTTGATCCTTGATGCCTTAGACCAATGGCACATGATAGGCTTTTATTCAAGCCACTCATCCATACCTTATTTCCAAGATCAATAGATGAGCTTTTGACACCCTTCACATCTTAAAACCTAAGTTATAGTTATTGTATCTTAAAGCCCATAACTTCATCGTTTATTTCCCATTAAATCCAAATTCATGTTTACACTTATGCCATGGTTTTTAAATAATTTGTGACAGTCAATAAAAGACAAGAACATGGACATAAGATATCCCATTGTTACTGGAATCTCTCCATTGACCTCGTGTTTCCGGTTCTGAAACCTGATTCCACGTTTTCGTTAAGAAATCTCTGTGGAAACCGTTTTTCGGAACCAAGGAAACTCGATTGCTTTATTTTGGAATCTCGATTCGAGACATCTTTGGATACCATTTTTCAGAACCAAAGAAACTCGATTCCTTAATTTCAGAATCTCGATTCAGCACATCTTTAGAAACCATTTATGAGAACCAAGGAAACTCAATTTTTTAATTTCGGGATCTCGATCCAACACATCTTTAGAAATTTGAACCCATTAATTGTGGGTAGACGTTCCCAAATATATCGAATCTAGATTTCAGCAAGGATTAAATCTTGATTCCACTTCAATTGAAATAGAAATCTTCCTTCGAATGATTTTAGTGGTTGCAAGGATTCATTAGTTTACTAGTGCTACCCTGGATCGCCTTTACTTTAAATCTAAAATATAACTTGTAAATACAATACATACAATTAAAAGTAAAACCATGGTGTAGACATAATCTTATTTTGTCTTTATAATAATGAAGTCAAAATCACAATTTAGAAATACTTGTCTTTTGTATATAATGACCGTAAGTTTAATAGTCAACACAATCACTTTAAAATTTGGAAAACCTTCTAATAAGAAACATCCAATATAGGTTCTAAAGTTGATGAGGCTCAATATGTGCTTGTCGCTTCCTTCTCCATAAAAATGAAATCTCGATTCCTGGTAGGGGTCGTCAAATGTATTTCATAGTCCATATTATTGTAAATCTCGATCTCAAACTGGCATGGATCTTTGATCCATATACTTCAGAAACTTGATTCCAAATATATTAGAGTCACGATTCGAAATAACAACATATTTCTGTTCCACATATATCAAAACTTCGATTCCATAGATGTCGGAAACTCGATTTTGCATATTAAGGAATCTTGACTTCTGAAGTGTCGATTCCAGGGGATGGGAATCTCGATTCCAAGGAGGATGGAATCTCTATTCCATATGTGGATGAAACTTGGATCTATTTCAGTCGAAACACGATTCTCAAAAACTAGGAATCTCATTCCTAGCGATTCCTAGTGTACAATGATTCTTAAGACGGAAATCTTCAATCTAGTCGTGATTTAGTGATTTCGGTTCCTAAAACGATTCGGGTTCCCAGGCATTTCCAACAACTATGGGACATCCACACATGTGAATAAAATATTTTATGACACCACCAATAGGATTTCAGCAACATTAAAGTTTCACATGGGTCAAGCCCATCAGGTGGTGTCACATAAGATACACACACATGTCTTGAATCATATGTGGATATTAATATTTAAATCAAATTAATTCTCAAAATCCCATAACTTCACACATGTCAAATAAACCACATGTGTGAACCGAACACCATGTGACAAAATAAATCACTTAAGTCACGACATTATAAAATATAATGTTTTAAATAAACATAATATAACTAAACAACAAAAGACAACAATGGCCCCCACGCATGAGCATGACGTCAACATGATGTTAGCACCCAAGGGGGTGTGGGGGTGCCACGTGGCATCCTTATGGCCACTTGTGACCCACGTGACATCCCAATGGATCGTCCTCGATCGTCATTTGTGCCAAATAATTTCAAAAAAATAATTTTGGTGTTTTAAAAATTCTCTAAAAATCTAAAAAATTATCCAAATGATTTTTCAACGTTGTTACACATTTTCTCATCGATATAAAATCTTTTTTCATCAATTTTAGATTAATTTGGGCTTAAGGTAAATGAGATCTCTAGAATAATAACGCTAGTCGGAGTCTTTCATTGGGCTAACCCGAATGACATTCCACCGGTGTCTCAAGCCAATTCAATAGACCTCTACTCCACAGTCTATGGCTAGGACATATAATTGATCGCGTCAAAGTTGCTGAGCCAGAGCTTCCCGTCACTGGGGGTTCAAGAGATTACTGGTGCACCCCTATGGGACATGTTCCTACTCAAATATCTGGGTCCTCTCATAGCACATGTGCACTAACTCTTTTAAGTCGAATAATACTATAGAAGAGTTGCTTCCCCATACGACTGTGGGTGCACATGCCGTGGAACGGTCTTGTGTTAGGATACGGGCTCATATCCCATGAACCAATCATTCCTTACAGGGCAAATATTCTTTTAAATACTCAGGTTCTATTATTCTCTATTGGATTCTCCAAGCCCTGGCTTATCACATCAACTATGAGGTATTCTAATCAATATAGTCCTGACTGGGAGGTGACCCTCACACCTCTTTGAGAGTTCACACTCCTAAAACGCATACTCTCATTGCCTTAAATACTCGGGGTATATGACTCTGGGCACTGGTGCACTAAGCACCTAGATTCAGTGTCTCTCTCTAGCTCTCACTAAGCGAAAGACTTTTAGCTTTAAGGCCTTGAAAGGCCATATAACCTGCACACAACACCATCCATATTAAAGGATCTTGGCGAAATACCAGCTATAGGTGCGCCTTTTCATGAGGCATTTTTAGGAATATGCAAACAAAACGATAGGATGATTGATCACTCTAATCATCTCTCTAAACTCATGAATTTTGTGTGTTGCTTGACCAGAGTTATTCTCCTCCTCTATGGTCTCTCTTTTCAGATACTTTTCTTTGCCCTAGTCTCTACGTTCAACATTTAAAGTCTCAAGTTCCAAACCCACTCCATGTGTCTATTTGTCTCCTCTGAGGAAGCTTTTGTCACAGACAACTAAGTTATGTGTTAACATTGAAATTAGTAAGACTCTTTTAAAACATATACCATCTTCTTCAATGTTTTCTAATGGTGAGGCAAAAAAGGCTCTTGTACTATAATCACAATCACTTCCTTACCATTCCAGGATACTATTTCTTGGTGCCTTGATTTTACAATGTTGATTAGTCTCTTGTATTGTGGGGACTTGCATTACAATATGATCATTGTAAACCTCAGAGTAAGCCATATACTTGAATTGATTTCACAGAATGTCTCCCCCTAACATGAAGGAAGAAATGTACAAGAAGCAGCAAAACTGTTTTCTGTTGTACCATGTGAAAGGTGTGGCTATGTGGAAGTCAAGGTATTAAATTCAAAAATTTTCTTTTACTTTTATTCTAAATACCTGAAATCCACTTATTTGGGCTATAATATGTTGCTGTAAAATTAAAATAATGCCCTAGATACA